ATTTCCCTACTATATTTCTTTTTTTACACAAATCTTAAAGCAATGCTAGAATTTAAAAATGTGAAATCAGAAAAGTACTTTTTAGCAGCCAGAAAATTCTGATTTGGGTGGTCTATAAAATTTTGTGTATATAATATAAGGTGTCCTGGAAAGTGTCACCCAACAGTATTTTGGTTTCAGGGTTCCTGCCTCGCTCTTTTTTCTTATTTGCAAAATATAGATCCTGAGCATTTAATCACAGATCTTAATCACGGTGGCGCAGTGGTTAGAGGGCAGTACTGATGCTACTACTGCTGCCTGATGGCTGCCTGCAATTTGGCAGTTCAAATCTCACCAGGCTCAAGGTTGACTCAGCCTTCCATCCTTCCGAGGTGGGTAAAATGAGGACCCAAATTGTTGGGGGCAATATGATGACTCTGTAAATTGCTTAGAAAGGGCTGTAAAGCACTGTAAAGTGGAATAAAAGTCTGAGTGCTATTGGTAAGTGCTATCTACAGTTTGTTGTCTAATCTAATTTAACCCTGAAGCCCTACAACACAGGGGATTGAAGGGAACGCAAACAAAAGGATAAATTGGAGCAACATATATAAATATAGAGCTTAAAAAAGGATAAGCAATGGATGGAAGAAAAAGTCTATTCACAAATCAGAAAGGAAGGAGAATTTAGAAACTTTGCAGAGATGACAGCCAAAATATCATCTATGTTATGAAGGAAAAGAGACAGTCAAAAACATCTGGAGAGATAGAGAAACTATGAAAATGATGACTAGGATCTACTTTTTTCTAAGAAGCATGACAATGTCACTTGATCACAGGAAGCAAAATAAGCATTTCAGCTTTCTTCCTCTTGAGTGGTGACACTGTTTGCTTTTGTTTTTAAAATTAAATAGTGTCTGAACATGCATGTGCACACCCAAAAGTCCCTTCTACTGGGATTGCATTGAACCAAAGACCACTGGAAACGTAATCCATATGTGCTTCTTTTTTAGAATAAACTTTTTATTTCTACTTTTGGGGACCTGGTTTCTATAAAAGAGGGCGACAAGGACTGTAGCTTCTGGCCCACTGTGATATTTTGATGAGACAATCGTAACGGGACAATCAAGATCAAAGAGCAAAAATATCTTTGTGCTTGTCCATGATAATTTCCTATAATTTGATTTAAACTAATTATCTTAATCTCCTCTTTTAGTATTATGGCAACCTATTATTTTTTATGAGTACAGATTGTCATGAAACCTTAGCACATGAAACAGTCTTAAAATGGAGCTGCATTAGCATTAACACCTTTTAAACAGCATTCTCTGTGAAGTGCATATTCATATGCTTCAAGGAGGACAGGAAAAACCTTACAATGTCTATCAATAAACTCTTTAATTGTTCTGACCTAGGCTACCTGAGAAAGCACAAATCACAATCTTAGTCCCCCAAACCCTCTTTTATTTATACGACTTAAATTATGGTCATTAACAGTCTGCAAGGCTTCACAAACAGCCTGTGAAAGTTCTAACAGAAGTCTGCTCGAGGTGCCACAGTCTTTCAGGGGAATGTTGATAAATACCCACCTTATATCCCTTGGAATGCTATCAGAGTCCTAATTGCCAAATGCAGAACAAGGCCACTGATGACAGACTCTGGAGGCTCTGGAGGCAGAAAATAACTACCAGATAGCTTGGTCCCCTCTCTGCCTCCGACACAGAGCCCTCGTTCAAGCCTTCCCCAGACTCCAGGACTGGCCCATGTTCCTCCCCAACCTCTTCACTGTCAGAATCTGCTGCCAGTTCTGCTGGCTGTTGGTGGGCCGCAACATTATTCAATAGTAGTTATACCATGAAATATGAGTCACTCTTAACAGTAAATACCATGATAATGATGAACTACAGAAACCATAGCAGAAATTAAGTTCCCTTTAACCTACTTATTGTTAGTCAGGACAATTAAAGATGAAGGGAAGGGCTACTTGTCCAACTTTCTGAAATACTTTATGGACAATCAGAGAATCCAGTTTGGCATATTTGTAAAGGAGTTGTATGTTGATACAATTAACATGGATGCAGCACTGACATATATGCCTTTCTCAAGGACAATTTTAAGCACCATACCAACCATTTCCTTTAATTGTGCTCATTGAAAGTCATGTGGGTTCTGCTTCATAAAAGACTTCATATTCATAGAGACACCTAGAAATGGCCACATAGCTCTCAATTGAATTAAATCTTGCTTGAAACATGTTATGACCCTGCCTTCCACTTTTTATTGGTTTTCAGCTTAGATCTCGTGAGTCAGGACCTAGAAACAGCCACAATGTCTGTCCTGCAGCTAACTAATTTATATAGTGATTGAATTAGAACCTGTTCCCATTTAATGAAATCAGTGTTATGAATATTTGGTAAACAGGGAACAGTGCAAAAGAAAGAAATGGCCCTTGAATAAGTAGATTTTTCACTGGACTGAAGTTACGGCTCTCAGTTTTCCCAGAAGAATTGCTTTCCTTAACCTACTATTTAATTAGAAATGGGAAGGTTAACCGAAAGATCTTTTTTTAATTTCCCATTTTCCTGTGATCCAATGATGATAAAAATGTATATATTAGAACAGATTCTACAGGTAATCTTGGCTCACAAATACTTCTGAAAACACAGATTTTCATTTATTGTTCTGTGCATAGTAGAGGAATTTATACAATCTCAAAGTATGTTCCTTGGTTGCATTCCTCCTCTATATGTGCAACCCACTTAACATCTATTTATTGGAAAATGAATGGCTACTAATTGCTCTTAAACTTAAACACACCCAAAGTTTGGATTCATTTAGGGGGGGGGGGTCACTTTTAAATTGCTGTACATAGATTTATAAAATTGGAGGGGAGGGGATATTTTTATTTGTTTTTTTATAACACAGCTCCTGTGTTTTAAATATACTTCACATAAAAAGATTCAACAGTTTCATTTTTTTCCCTGCTGAAAGATAATAATATTTTAAAGTAGAAAATAAATTTCTTGCAGAAAAAAAATGTAAGTCTTGAGGGTAAAGGTAAAGGTTCACCTCACACATATGTGCTAGTCATTTCTGACTCTAGGAGGTGGTGTTCATTTCCATTTCAAAGCCGAAGAGCCAGCATTGTCCAAAGACGTTCTCCGTGGTCATGAGACTGGCATTACTAAATGCCAAAGGTGCATGGAACGCTGTTACCTTCCCACCAAAGGTGGTTCCTATTTTTCTACTTGCATTTCTTATGTGATTTCAAACTGCTAGGTTGGCAGAAGCTGGGACTAGTAATGGGAGCTCACACCATTATGCGGCGCTAGGGATTCAAACTGCTGAACTGCCTACCTTTCTGATCGACAAGCTCAGCATCTTAGCCACTGAGCCACCATGTCCCTTATCTTGAGAGTAGTATTCGTTAAAAATATAAAAGCCTCCTGTAGGTCAAGCTCAAGTTCCAAGTGGATATGGCAAAAATAGGGGACTTCTTTGCAGTATTTTCAGTCTCGCTTCCTGGGGTCCTTCTATCCAAATCTTAGCCTGCTTTAATCTTCTTTTCAACTACAGCCAACAGAACCAATGCAGAGAGAAGCAATATTTCAGTGGGTGGTAGAGTACTGCTAGTTCTATCACTGTTCTAAAGCATTCTTCTCTGTGTTCAGAAGTACCTGCTTCTGCTTCTTTCTTTCACGTTATGTGAAACATTATGTGCTTATGAAAGTGTTCTGGATATTAAGAGTTTTACTCCTACACAGGGTGGAGTGACCTGCCAGTGACAGTCCCAACAAGCCTCTGCTGCACTAGCATTTATTCAGAATGTTGACGTGAAGAAGATATAGTCTGAAATTTGCTAAAGGGAAATGCCTTAACCTGGAATTTTAAAATGAGATAGCAGGGGAGGAAGAATAGCTTGACCACCTTCTGTTTCTTAAAACATGTGCCATCCTCGTGGAAGGGCCACGTTCATTTATGGTGGTCAAAAATCAAGAAGAGTCTGGTAGCATCTTTTCAGAATAGCAAAAATTATTTAAAAACAAGTTTTAACTTATTTCTTAGTCTAAAAACATGCTACAAGACACTCTTGATTTTTGGGAAACTATGAAAATAAAAATTAATAAAAAAAAGAAATTAGATTTCAATCAACAAGTGCAAGATGAAAAAGTTATGAAAATAGTTGACATGAAATTCATTTGTTCTCTAGTTACTATGGCTTGTGGGAGTTGATTTAAAAGAAAATATGTAAAACATCACTGCTTATCCAAAGAAGTCACTCTTATACAAGCTGTGTTAAGGGCAGACAAAATAACCTGTTAGGACACCCAAAATATAGAATTAAATTTCACTAAAGTTAGGTAGGCTCCCAAATTTGTTTCGTTAGTGAACATAATAATTATACTTTAAAATTCTGGCTTTAAATTCAAATAGATGATTATTTACTAAGTCTGCATTACTATTACTATTAATCTTCTCATCATTCCTATCACCATCTCCTCCCACTTATGACTGTAACTTTGTTGCTTGTATACTTACGATTTATATTGATTGTTTCCTAGTATGATTTGATTGCTTATTTGTACCAGATGTCGGTTGCTCCCGGTTCAGCCTGGTTCGGTGGGAAGCTCCACCCACCTGCCTGGATGCTTCTATACATGCGCAGAAGCTTCTGCACATGTGCAGAAGTAACACGCACGCGAGCACATGAGCATGAGCAAACCAGTAGCGCCGGGATTTGCAACCCACCTCTGATTTATACCCTATGACTATCATTAAGTGTTGTACCTTATGATTTGTGAGAAATTTATCTTTTCTTTTATGTACACTGACAGCATATGCACCAGAGACAAATTCCTTGTGTATCCAATCACACCTGGCCAATAAAGAATTCAATTCAATTCAATTCTATTTGTGCAATTATCAGGAATCAAACATAGTCAAGCACCTAGTCCCACAAAACCAATGCCACTAAGTTATGAAAGTCATTCCTGAATGAATAATAACATTTGGATCATACATACTTTTCCATATGGAGTACAGGAAGTTTCAGGTTGGGTAAGTCCACAGGTGGAGGATGCCTTCAAATAATGGATTCTTCCTATAAGAAGATCCTGCACAGGTGGATAGCAGGCCCCATGCAGACAGGTTCTTTGTGCAACCAGGAGGTGTGAAGAAGCTAGAAAGAAATTCAGAAATTGACTTTAACAAAGCAATCATTAAGAGAAAAGAGGAGTGAAACACAGCCCTTTTTTGTGACAAGTGAAGCTTCTATATTGAGTAGCTTAAAAAAAGCAATGCAAAATAACATAATAGCTTTCAAGTTAAGTGTCTGATTACAGAATTAAGGAACTTCTGCTTTGAATTTCACTTCCACCATAAACTAGCTATTAAATGACCATAAGAAAGTCATTGAGACCATAATTCTGTGTGTATATCAGCCTAGAAGTAAGAACCCCGTGGAGCTTCCTACTGTTAGCCTCAACTTGCTAAGTTGTAATGTGTAGCTAATTCTATGGCTTTACCTTATAGCACTGTCATAAAGATTAGAGAAACCATATATGCTAAACAATCCAATAGTTGTAAAAGCAGTAAAGATCTGCTAAATATTATTCACCCATCCAACAAATGACTTAATTTTCTCCTATTACAGACACCAACAACATGCAATGTTATCTCATTAATTCTCAAATGCCCTTTTCAGAAAATAGTGCAAAAGACACACAGACCTAGAAAACATAAAAGAAATCATTTGAATCTGTGAACTAGAACTATTATTTAAAAATGTTCTTTATTGTGACATATTTGCTAAAAACATATGGCATGCAGACAGGTTATCCTGTCTGCATGCCACAACTCCCCTTAAGAAATATACTGGTCCCACTATATTGGATAAGGTGGTTCACTCCAGGTCCTCACTCTTAAATATTGTCATCTAGTGGGAGCTAGGAAGCCAATAATTTATGTAGCTGGATCAACCATCTAAAACAGCTTCTTCCTGGTATGGGGAGGACCCCTACACTCCTTACAGTCTGGAAGGCCCTGAAGACCTGAATTTTCCCTCAGGTGCTGCACCAGGAGGGAAGGAGGGCCCCGTGATGGGATTGTTCTTCGTAGCTTGAAAGCTTTTTATTATTATTTTAATAATAATATATTTTTATTTTTCCAGTTGTTGTTAGCCAGTTATTTTATTTAACATGTGCACATCTACAAAGCTTGTGTCAGGCCCCTGCCCAAAAACAACACAATGAAATCCAACTGAATTGATAGCTTTAAAATTCTGCTTGTACCTAATGGACAAATCTTGCCAAACTAAACTTCCCTTCTAACCTACTAGATATACCCTGAGAGATTCTGGGATGTGTGTGGCTATTCTGAATCTCTTCTTCTCTTCCCTCCATTCATCTCAGGACTGTAAAGTCTCTTAATTTAAGCTTCTCTTTGGAATGTACTATTTCTTCCCTGGGAAACCATGGTGCTCATGGTCAGGACACACACATGCACAAACACAAACATGCACACACACACACACACACACACACACACACACACACACATTCCTTCTCCAGATGCACATTCCATCACACCTTGAAATAATCTGTGTGTTCCGGTGTTCCCTGCATTACCCATTATGCTCTCCACAAAAGAAAAGTTGAATATAGACTAATTATTCAGTATAAACAGATCCAAAGCAGGTCTCTTGAGGTCAACCAGTATTAATAGGAGATATTAACTATTGCCTGGATCTTCCTTATCATCCATCTAATATTTTTCACTTGCATGCATAGAAAACACTTACCTAGAAGAAGGAATATCCACATCATGATGGTGTTCACAACATTCAAAAGTTACCTTAAATGGACATAAAACATATTCAATGACAAAAGTGATAACATGGATATGGCAAATTATCAGCCCTTCTTTAGTATTGCTTGTAATGTTGTTGTATATAATTACAAACTGTCCTAAGAAGAGAAAGTATTGATGAAAGTGATTATAGGTAGACCTTAACTTGTGACTGTCCAAAGTTACAACAGATCCAAGAAAAGGGATGTACAACCTGGATTCAAAATTCTGGCAGTCATGTTTCCCCACCCCCATACTCTGGGATCAGGTGACTTGCATGTTGAGCACTTGGCAACCAGAGCAATAGAGATAAACTACCAAATCTAAACAGGAAAAAAACCAAGACTACACAATAAAACCATTATCACCACTTTCAACCCTGCTCCCCAGTCCTATGTACAGTAATATGATTCATTCATTCATTAATAAACATGTAGCTGATCATTGGTGAGGAATCCAATAGCACAAGCAGAACAACAATCTGGGAGCCCGGTTAGAAATAAATGGGAAGATATATATTTTTTAAAATGGGAAAGATAAGCAGTGGAGACGCAATATGCTCTCTCTTGTTCATATAGAAGATGAAACATGGCTATACTGAGGCATGGTTGGCCATGAATTTTCATCAAAAGTAATAGAATTAAATATCATTGGCTTAACATTGACTCTGAAAACTCTGATCAATTCTGGAATGTTTTTGTTTTTTTTACTAACAGCACAGATGTCAAGAGAATGATAAGAATATAGCTAGGCATAAATGTCTTTAATCCATTGCATTTTTATGTAAACTTATGGTTGACTAATCCATGGTCCAGTGAAAAATCACATGCTATCTTAGATGATATTTTTATATACATCTCATACAAAACCAGCCCATAAATACACATAGTCTAGTCCATGCAGTTGCCAGGAATCAACACTGACACAAAGGCATAAAAAATAAAAATAAGAAATAGCCTTTCAGTCTTCCTAGTCAAAGAGAAAAAAACAATTCTAGAACATTATTTTCATGTGTGTCCTCTATCTCTTACCATTTTTTCTCTATTAAACTTTTGCCCATTTATTTCAAATGGGGTGGGATTCTTACAAACATAGCACTTTCTTCAGAGTATTCATCATTTTCAAAGCATTAATCAACTGGAAAGCACTAAGCAGTAATCAAGATTTAATCTATTCTTTCCAAGAGCAAACAGTACTAAACTTCTGACTTTGAAAAATCTGATTACTCAGAGAGATTTTTTCTACCTTTGAAACACCTGGTATAAGAACAAGATCAAGCAGAACACATTGAAAATTAACTTTCTAAAGCGACCAGGAAGCTTTTTAAAACTTTACCCAGATCATGTGCTTTAATTCCTACTTTTTAGTTCTTTTAAAAAAATATCTGTTTCACTCTGGGTAATGGCATCTCCTTTATCTTTCTCAAAAGCTGAAAGTCTTTTAAGATGAAAGATTCCAAACCAATGAAACCAATGAATGTTGTTGCCAAATCCTTATAACCACCAATCAGTAGCCTTTTCGATGTTCATCAATAAACTCCCAGCTAAGATTCAGAAATACTTTACTCCCAAAGCTTGCTAGAAGGGGTTATTTACAGTTACCAACATTGTGCTATATAAAACATACCTGCTCTATCCTGTCTTTTTCCTTCTCTTTTGTGAATGGGTTAACTGGAATCCGTTGCCTGTCTTCTTTAACTGTAGACTTTTACTCTCCGTTTTAAACATATCTTACCTGGTGATGTAAATTCCTGTGGGTGTAGTAATAATAATATAAGGAGTGATTCAAGAACCGTTTCAGACAGACACACCCAAGTACTGTAAAATTCATTATAGAGCCTAGACAATGAACTTGTGTTAGCTCACTGTAATGTGAAAGAAGAGATCATTGTGATTATACATTCAAGAAAACCCATTTCAATCACTTTGCAAACACTGGGAGAGCAGTTTTCATATTTTTTCATTGCATATAGCAGAGAAAGCCAATAGTCAAAAGAAATATTTTCACTGAGTGAAATAGGTAAGCAAAGGAAACAGAAAGAAATGGAAAAACAGAATGTGATCTTTTCATAGAGGGATATACACAAGGAAAGCAATTCATAACCTGGGCACCTTTCAGATACCCAGGAATAAAAAAAATACAGTATATATACAATACATTTATATATTAGTAGAATTCTCATTCATATGACCAGTTTTCAAACAAAAGATATGATCAAATAAAATAAAATGCAGCAATTACACTGCTACTCCATGCATATTATATAGCTTAATCTCATACATCCTTTAGGATAGGAACTAGGTATAGCTATAGATACACCAATAGCTATAAGTATAGACATAAACAATACCTCCCATACTGAAGTTTGCATATCTATGGCTTTCACAGATATCACTACTGATAAGAGAAACTACTGGAGAGATGAGCACACTATTTACAGAAATGAAAATAACAAGCTTTAATCAAATTGATGTCTTCCAATGAACTTGAACTAACTTCCACATTCATTAACCACTATGGACCTTTATGGGAACTGGTCTAAACAGCAATCAAAGTAGAAGTCCACTATTTTTTAACAGCATCGAGTTGCAGAACTAATCAGCTAATGTCTATTTCAAACAGCATCAGCAATGGGCACTAGTTTCGAAATGGTGCGTCCAAAGGGATGGAAATGTAGTTTGGATTCCCAGGAGTGAGGCATAGATGGCAATGCTATGAGCACCTTTTTGCTTGCCTTGTATCTCCTACTATGCTGCTGACTATAGAACTATAACTATAACTAGCTATAGTGATAACTATAATGAGGACCCAGATAATTGGGGGCAATATGCTGACTCTATAAAACCTCTTAGAGAGGACTGTAAAGCACTGTGAAGCAGTATATATGTCTAAGTGCTATTGCTGTAACAATTGGATTCACACTACATGCTAAGAGTCCTAATATGATTTGTTTGATTTTTTATTTATTATGTTGCATGAATCCTTGGTTAAATAAACAATGGTTAGTACAGATGAACCAGCTACACCTTTATTAATATTGCAATTCTTAAAATGAAGATATATACCTTAGTTGCTTGGGGGGAAATCACAAAATCAGTTTGTGTCCTTAGGCGTATAAAATCTGAAGGATTATCTGGGGATTTTCTCCATTCTTGGGTGTGTCAAGAATGCTTGGTAAATGGGTAGAGATCCTGGGTGTGCCTGCTTTTGTACTGCTTGCTCACACTCCAATTACTCATGCTTTGATGCCAACTTTTTCTCTGTGGAATCTGGACTCAACAAATCACCTTGCAGGCAACAGCTCTCAGCATGCCGAAAGAAGATTAACAGAACTAGCAAAAGACAAAATAATGAGGACATCTAAAAAAAGCATTACGCTAAAAAATAATTCCATAAAGAAATAAATCCAAATAGTATAGTCAAATACTAGTAGCAAATAAATTTTCCTTTCCTCCTTCTAAATTGCCATACAGGATACAGAATTATAGGAAGGAAAAAGCAACTAGACAGATTATTTAGAATAGAATAGAATTCTTTGTGGCCAAGTGTGATTGGACACTCAAAGAATTTGTCTTTGGTGCATATGCTCTCAGTGTACATAAAGAAAAATAAAATAGAATACATTCATCAAGAATCAAGATACAATGTCATAAGGAATTAAATTATACTAGGAAACAATAAAACAATATAAATTGTTTAAAGATATGGTTATAGTCATATGTGGGAAGAGATATGTACTAGGAAAGAAGAGAAGAATAATAGTAATACAGTCTTAGGTAATATGACAGAGTTGTGGGAATTAGTTGTTTAGCAGAGTGATGGCATTCAGGAAAAAAATATCCTTGAGTCTGGTTGTTCTGGTGTGCAGTGCCCTATAGCATCGTTTTGAGGGTAGAAGTTGAAACACTTTATGTCCAGGATATGAGGGGTCTGTAGTTATTTTCACAGCCCTCTTTTTGACTCATGCAGTATACAGGTAATATACCTGTGATTGATCACTGAACATCTCTCATTCAGTCTACCATCTCATTATCTATCATTGTCTATCATTACCTTGAGCCCACTTGAGCTAAAGTGTTATAGTGTCCAGCTAGCAAATAAGAACTGGTGAGAATTGTAATACTACAATCCACCTTAATAGCACTGAGGTTCAGGGCTACATGCAACAGACAAAAGCCTTAAATTGCCATTTTTAATGTACTAGAAGGATTATTAATTGAATGAATACCTATAATATTAACTGTACATAGTTAATTATTTTTATTTATAACAAAATATAACAGAATAATGCCATTGGAAGGGACCTTGGAGGTCTTCTAATCCAACCCCCTGATCAAGCAGGAGACCCTGCTTCAGAGAAATGAATGTCCAATCTCTTCTTTAAAACCTCCAGTGTTCCAACACCACAACTTCCGAAAGCAAGCTGTTCTAGATGACTTCTTTCCTTGATTAGTTTCCACCCATTGCCTCTTGTTTTGTCTTCTGATGCTTAGCAAAATAGGTTGAGCCTTCTCTTCTTTGTGACAGCCCCTCAAATATTAGACTGCTATCAGCCCCTAGTCTCTCTTTTCACTAGACTAGAAATACCCAACTTCTGCAACCATTCTTCTGTTTTAGTCTTCAGCCTCCTAATCGGTTTTGTTGCTCTTCTCTGCACTTTTTCCAGAGTCTTAACATCTTTTTTAAATTGTGGCAGCAAAAATCAGATTCAGTATCCAAGTGGGGTCTTACCAAGGTATTATAAAATGGTACTAACAGTTAACATGATCTTGATTCTATTCCAGAGGTGGGTTGCTGCCTGTTTGGCCTGGTTCGGCCAAACCGGTAGTGGCCCACTGCAGCTGAGAGTGAACCGGTATGGTGGATCTTTTCGCCTGCCCACCCACTGGCCCACCCACCCACCCATGCTCTAAACCTTTTTTTATGGCAAACAGGCAAATTGTGCACGCGCCTGCACGGGCCCCAACAATCAGCTGGTTGTCACAGGGGCAGTGGATTGTACACATGTGCAGGTATGAATGGAACACATGTGCGCATCATCAGCGAACCGGTAGTGATGGTAAGTGCAACCCACCACTGTTCTAGTCCTCTTTTAATGAATCCTAGGATTCATTGGCCATTGGCTTTTTTGGTGGTGGCTGCACACTGCTGGCTCTGTGTGATGATTGTCCACTAGGACTCCAAGAACTATCTTGCAGTTACTGCTATTGAGACAGGTTCCACCTATTTTATACCTGTGAATTTGGTTTTTCTTATCTAAGTGTAAAACCTTACTTTTCTCACCATTGAATCTCATTTTTAGGTGGGGTCCACTAGTCAAATCTGTCAAGATCCATCTGAATCTTGAGCCTATCTTCTGGGTGGTGGTTATTCCTGCCAGCTTGGTGTCATCTGCAAATTTGATGAGTTCCCTTTCTATACACTCATCTAAATTGTTTATGTACTGGGCCTAAAACAAAAGCTTGAGGTATCCCACTGCTTACTTCCCTCCATATAGATGTAGTTCCATTAAGGATTATACATTAAGTGTGGTTTGTCATCCAATTCTGAATCCACCTAATGGTGATGCCGTCAATCACACATTTTTCCAACTTACTAAGTAGATTGTGATATACTTTGTCAAATTCCGTATTGAAATCGAAGTATACTATGTCTGCAGCATTTTGCTGGTCCACTAATTGAGTCCCTTTGACAAAGAATAAAATAAAATTTATTTGGCATCTGTTTTTGACAAACCCATGTTGGTTGCTGGTTATAACTTTGCTGACTTCTAGGTATTCACAGATCTATTGTTTGGTTATCTTTTCCAGGATCTTCCCAGAAATTGATGTCAGGCTGATTGGTGGGTAGTTTCCTGGATCCTCCCCCCCCCCCACTTTTTTTTTTAAGATTAGGACCACATTAGCTCTTTTCCTGGCCTCTGGTAGTTCTCCAGTACTCCAGGATCTTTGAAATATATGGTTCAATGATTCCGAGATCACATCTGCCAGTTCCTTCAGAACTCTGGGATATAATCCCTCTGGTCCTTGTTTAAATTTAAATTATATGAAATTAATTAAATTAAACTTGATTTAAATTAAATGTTATTAAATTTGTAAATTTAATTTGTTCTGGCCCCAATCAAGTGTTTGTTGTTCTTCTGGTCTATTGCTGGTAACATTGCAGACCATTTAAAGACCTACTCTGCTAACAATTCCAAAATATATATCTGCTCTATTTGAATAAGGGGGAGGGGAAGCACAGTTCTTACTTGTCCTAGTAACAGCAGAACCAAGTAATCCTTGGGACCAAAAAGGCAAGAAAGATGACGGGGAAAATGTATATAATTTGTAAAGACAAGGATTGGATCTGATGGGTAGATTAAAATGCCAAATCCAGTCTATAATAATAAAGCCCTACAGTCTCCCGGAATGGGAATCATGAGCTTGAAAGAGTTTGCACCAAATGCTTCTAAAGTGGAGGTAGACCTCTTGGAATAATACATGGATTGATCATTCTGGGGTGTCCAAAAATGGAAAAGCTGGTTACAATGTGTTCCTGCATGATGGGAAATGAATTGAAGACTAATTGGAAAGACCATGCCAAAGCAGAGCTCTGATTTAATTTACACGGGGATTCCCAATATCCTTTCAACTTGGTTCATCACTGATGGTTCCCAGATTGTTTTGTTTTATTTGCAGAGTTTCAAATCTGCTGTCAATTTCATATCCAAGAAGTTCAAACAGTTACTGTGAAGATGGTCTTGAAAAGAATACACAAGCCATCTCCATGCTCTGCTGTTCTTGAATTGATTGGGAACCGGGCAGATGGACAGAAGGGTTTTGTTTGTTTTTGTTAAGTTTAATGGTGGAATAATGAAAAGCTGAGAGGGCCCTTGGCAGCATCCTTTTGCCTTCAAATACCTACAAAATTTGAAATTCAGGGCAGACTAAAGAAGGTTTTCTGGCTCCTGCTACTCTTCCACCCAAAATATGAACCAAAATATGTGTTCTGTCTCTCTTTATCTCTTTTAACTGCTTTTATTAATACCAGAAGAGTTCGGATGATATTTAGAAACTGAATGAAAGTTCCAAAGTTGAGAAAAGTATACATACAAATCTACAGGCTTTAACTGAAACTTAATCATAGAATATCTACAACAACTTCCTTGATTTGTGAAAGGGTGTTGACTTGAAACATATTGAAAAAACTGTAATAGCAATCAGGTCTTTGTATAGTAAATTTCCTTTAAAATGTGCTTGCATCTGATGTCAGAACACAAACAAAAAGCCATTGCCACCTCACAGTGCATATTTCATCATTGGTGAATTATCAGTTTGTATTGGATGCTTCTGTTCCAAAAGTATTTTTGCTTGTAAGCTAGCCCCAATGCAAAATTCAGGACAAAAATTGCAATATACATTCTGATCGACTCTTTTGCACTGTCAC